GTTGCTTGAAAAGATTATCTCTCTCTTTTTTTTTTTTTTTTTTTTTTTTTTTTTTTTTTTTTTTTTTTTTTAATTTTTGGTAAGTGGTTTTGTTCTATACTTAAATGAGATGTATAACATGCTTTTCTTTTTCTGTAGGAGCTTATACCAGGAGCAGACTTTAGACTGTCTAGGTTGATGGAAGTTTGAATCCTCACTCGTGAGTAGTGACTGACTGCAGTGTGCTGAGAGCTGGCCAACAGCAGGACCAAGCAGCCTCGTCAGCCAGGTTTTGTGTTGTATTTAGGATTTCAGGAGACAGTGTCCAAGCTATCAGTGATAAGGCAGGTAAAGCACCAATACTATTAGAGTAGCAACAAAATGTTAATATAATAAGTTTTATATTTCCTACTATTGAAGTAGCATTCTTTGTAAATAAACAGATCTAATATAGTACTCCCCAATACTATAAATGTTACCTTGAGGTAATTACATGAATATTGAACTGTTAGGAATTTGATTCACTGTTCTTTCATTTTATCACTGGTTATTTTATTAGTGCTTACATGTGTGTATTGTAGAGGAGAATTCTTCCTGCAGAAAGCCATCCCTATGGCAGCAGATAGGGGGTTTTCTCCCAGCCCTGCATAAGGTTCCTTGGGTCTTGGAAATAGGGGATTGTGCCCACATCCTATTCTTGATGAAGTCTGGTACCAGCTCCTGTAACTGCATCTTGAGAAGTTTTTTCTGTGGAAAATAGGACTTGACCCTCTTGCAGATGCTATCAGGTATTACCTCCAGGAGTAGGGATGTGGCTCAGGTACAGGGCACAAGTATTCTTGAGGCCCTGGGTGCTATTCCTGTCATCTCAGATGAAGAAAGTAAGTTTTGGTACGAACTGGTTGGTTTCTATAAACAGAGAAAACATTTTCCTAAAATAATTTTATCATGTGAATGAATTAGCCTTCATTGGTGGTTTGCTAGCTTGGAAAAGAATTCTCCAGATCAGTTTTATCAGCCATGCATAAAAATGGCACGGCACAGTGTCCCCTGTGCTCGAAGACACAGCCAGCCTTGGATAGGTGTGGCTTTTAAGTGCCACCCAGGTGTTACCCAACCTCATTGAGTACTCGGCCTTCATGGCCTACTGCTTGCTTCATTGCTTCCTACCTGTTTGGTAGAGCGTGGCCCTAAGCAGGTAGTGGGGACATTGTACATTGGATTTGCTGCTGGATTTTTTTTCCTACTGAGCATTTGCTATATAACTGAATTTTGTGACTCAACTTGAAGTTGTCTCAAACCACTGCATAGGAAACAAGGTCAGAAGCCCATCATTTATGTAAAAGTCCACTTTTGTAAGTAGAAACCTGTCTCATTTTAGGGCCATTCATATTTCCCTTGAGCTTGTGCCCCTTTATGCACATAATGTGCCTCAGTGGTCTGAGGATCACAGTGTGATTACTTTTTACACTAGGTATGGATGATCCAGGGGACCAGAGCAATGAGGAAGCACCTAAAGCTATTAAGCCCACAAGTAAGGAGTTCAGGAAGACTTGGGGGTTCCGGAGAACAACAATTGCTAAGCGCGAGGGTGCTGGGGACACTGAGGTAGATCCTGCTGAGCAGCAGCCACATAGTCTCTCCCTACGCCGCAGTGGGAGGCAGCCAAAGCGCACTGAGAGGGTAGAAGAGTTTCTGACCACAGTTCGACGCCGAGGAAGAAGGAATGTGCCTGTTTCCCTTGAGGATTCCAGCGAGGCAGCATCCTGTCCAGTCACAGATGTGGAGAGTGCCTCAGAGGGTAGTGTTGAGAGCAGCTCTGAGATAAAGAGTGTCCCTACACGTGGTTCCAAGCGGGGGAAGGAGCGCCCTGCCTCTTCTGAAAAGGCCAAAGGAAGGGATGAGCAGGGTGACACCTCTGACAGTGACAGTGATGGGCTAACTTTGAAAGAACTTCAGAATCGTCTTCGAAGAAAGCGAGAACAAGAACCAGTGGAGAGACCCCTGAAGGGTGTCCTGAGTCGCCTGAGGAAGAAGCGGCGAGAAGAGGACCCAGGTGATGCTATGGAGGTGGAGGTGGCCAGAGCTTGCCGCGATGTGCCACCCTGTAAGCAAGAGTCTGAGGCTGGTGAGGGATCTGTGAACCAGGCAGGAAAAAATGACAGAGAGGGTGAAACAGAGGGCACAGTGGCTCAGGAACCTAAAGATGAAGACCCTGCAGACATGGGCAAACCTAAGCCTGACTGTGAGGTTTACGACCCCAATGCCCTGTACTGCATCTGCCGCCAGCCTCACAATAACAGGTGAGTCAGAGTCATGGGAGCGGAGGTGCTGCTCACTCTTATTGAAAAGTCAGACATGAAAATGGGTAGAGAGAGTTTCCCATTTGTTTGGATATTAACAGATTCTCAGACTGGACTGGATTAGCGGTTTTAATTGATAAAGATGTACAAGTCCAAGTGTAAAAAGAAACAGATGTAGAAAGGGCTGCCTGTCACCATCCTCCCCATGGTGTCATTTACATACTGGTGTCCAACAGGGAATAAGAGGAAGAGCTCACTACCTCAAATCGCAGGAGCTACATGTACCAACTGGCTGCTGTGCGGGTGGTGAGACTGATCTGCCATCCCAGGTCCTATAGGAGAGTGAGGCTCTGCCCATTTCCTTGGGACATGGAGACCCTAAGTGCATGCAGTGCTAGGATGGACTGGGTGCCAGGTGGTGCTGGGGGTATGAGTTTGTCAGGGGGTGATGGTAGAGATACACATGAAAACCTCTAATTCACTCTTCAGGCTCTCTGGTCAAAGCAGCAGTGAAACGAATATGACTGAATGGGAATTAGACTCAGTACTTCTTTACTTTATTCATGATAAAACGTTCAGTCCAGTTTGGGCTTGTAGATTGTTGGAAAATGATAATCATCACTTCCTTCTCATTCCTTATTTCATACTTTTTTCATGTTAGGTTTATGATCTGCTGTGACCGCTGTGAGGAGTGGTTCCATGGCGACTGCGTGGGAATTTCTGAGGCTCGAGGGCGGCTCTTGGAGAGGAATGGGGAAGATTACATCTGCCCAAATTGTACCATCCTGCAAGTGCAGGAGGATACAAATTCAGAAGCCACTGATGAGCAGGAAACTAGATGCAGACCTGCAAGTGTGGATGGCACAGACTGCACTAGCATAGGGACAATAGAGCAAAAGTCTAGTGAAGACCAGGGCATCAAGGGTAGAATTGAGAAAGCTGCAAACCCCAGTGGCAAGAAAAAACTCAAGATATTCCAGCCTGTAAGTATTTTATATACCAAGGTGAGCACAAAGGTGGGGTGGCCTTACTGGTGTTAAATTTGCTGCTGATAGAAATACTAAGACTAGGAATTCATTTCCCTTTTGAATAAATGAGGCTTTGCTGGGCCAAGTGCAAGGGTGCTTGAGGTGGGCCCTGTGGGGAAAGCATTCTGTACTTGAATCCTGTCTTCATATTACAGCATTCTAACAGCGCGTTTTTTGAAAGCCCTTTTGACCTGCTAACTGTTCTTAGCATTTTTTTTTTTTTAATTTGCCTTTCTGTATATGTTTCTGTTTTTGGTTTTTTCTGTATGGTGTTCTTGGTGAAGTGTGTGTAGGCAGAACACACCCTGGTCCCTATACTCAGTACCTCATTTCTCTGCCTAGCAGCTGTTTCTTCATTTTCTTCCCCATCTGTTTGGATGTTTCCCTGAAGCCATGGATCTCTGTCACATTCACTACCATCAGCTGGCTCATGTGTCTCCAGCTGTGTGAGGGGCTGACTCAGCCTCCCTCAGCCCCTGGATCCCTAGCCTGCCCCATCCTGTCCTGCAGCAATGTGGAGGTGGCTGTATGTCTAAGCATCTCTACCGTGATGCTCTCACCTTGTGTGATTGCATGGTAAGAGTATCCGAGGACTTGGCCACATTAAGCCATGTGTGGACATGTTAAGAGAAGATGTGAAAATGTGGTATCAGCTAATAATACCACATATAATGAGAAGTCATAAATTTCATGTCCTTATTGTTAATGTTTGACATTAGCATATATGCTACACTAGCTAAAACTTCATTTCAGTAGTGGGGGACAATTACGCTAAATGTTTAACTGTTTTGCTTGAGTATATTTGAGGAATGGGTCTGGTGTGTTTAATCTTGACCATCAAAAACACTTGAGTAATTGTGTGTTGGTGTCCTAGTTTGTTGTTGCTGTGTAACAAATTAGCACACACATACAGCATAAGGCGCAACATGCATTGAGGCTCCTGGTTTCCCTGGGTCACAGCCTGGCCCAGTTGAACTGAGCCCTCTGCTCAGGGGTCTTTCAAGACTTTAGTCAGAGTGCAGCTGGGCTTGTAGTCTTCTCATTGGCTCTGTTGGGGACACTCTCCTCCTGGAAGCCATCACCTTGCTTAATGTATGACACCTTTAGTGTTTGTGGCATAGAGGTAATAGGTTATTAATTGATTACCTGAAACTCTTTAAGTGATCATCCTGTGTTCCATTTGGCAATCTTCCTTTCCTGTCCTAACTATGGGTGACACCATTCAATCAAAGCAGCTTATTTCGTACCACACATGGAGTCTCCTGTTGGGAAAGGCCCGGTCCCTCTTTGAAGAATCTGATTAAGTCTGAATGTCTTGGCTCCAAATTATCTCACTGGAATCTGCACATCTGGTCCCTGGTGGAACCAGCTGTGGGCATGGTTATGAAATCCCACTGTGTCCTCAGTGACGCTCATGCTGAAGGGGAAGAAATATGCAAAGCATGATAAACGGGCCATCTTATTGTCCTACCCAGCACAGGACATTAAGAATACTTTGTGTGTCACTGTTATTGCCCCTTAGCTAAAACACCCTGGCCTTGGGCACTGGGCATGGTGAACACATTTATAAGTAACTCCAGCACTCTTAGGAGACTGAGGTAGGAAGATCAGAAGTATGACCCCAGTCTGGGCAGTTGAGCTTTTGGGGGGACCCTGTCTTTAGAAGTACAGAAAAGGGCTGGAATATAGCTCACTGCAAAGGCTCAGAGATCATTTCTCCATACACAAAAAGAAAAGTCTCTCTTTGTTACTGGCAGTGGTGCCATGAAAAAGTGCTTTTCCTGCTGATGTTGGCACATCCATTGTTTGAAGTCATTCATTTACCTCTGCAGGTCATAGAAACTCCTGGTGCCTCGCGGTGCATCGGTCCTGGGTGCTCCAGTGTGGCGCAGCCTGAATCGGTGTACTGCAGTAACGACTGCATTCTCAAACATGCAGCAGCTACTATGAGAAATCTAAATTCAGGTAAAGAACAAAAACCAAAGCCTAAGGAGAAAGTCAAGATGAAGCCAGAAAAACTCAGTCTTCCAAAATGTAGTGTTCAGGTAAGCTCACCACAGTTGCCATTAAAATCTTTAAGGGAAAAAGTATATTAATAGTGCTTTTCCTGTGTGCTTCTGCATATTTACTGAAGGAATTTGGGGCACAGTAGGTGTTGATGTCATTCAGGTCACCTTTACTTCTTGTAATGCTCTTCTGCTATTAGCCTAGGGCTTACATAAGTTGAATGTTGCAAAGCAGCACAGACAGCTGGCTACCCTGGACAACTAAGGCATCGGGATACGCCCCCAAGTGTGGCCGGTCATACCCATTTTTTTGAGTGCATAACTGAATCACAGGGTGATTTGGGTAGGATAGGTTCTTGGGTAAGGATGTGTGCTTCATATAAAGTAGCTTTCATAATTGCCTCATTTTTCTACTCATGAGATTTGGGGAAACCAGAAATGTCCAGAAATCAGAAGCTTTGTGTTAATTGGGAAGTTAATCTTGAGGCTTATCTAGAAATAACCATCAGTGACCCGCCTTGTTTGGGACATGCAAATTATATCTACTGCTGTTCCATAATATCTAGTTCCTTGTCAATTGCTTGCTTAGGCTTTGAATGGCTTGATTTAGTAAGAATGGTCATTCTGGGGCCAGGGATTTGGCTCAGTGGTTCCGGCACCTGCCTCGCAAGCACAAGGACTCAAGTTCAATCCCCGGTACCAAAAAAAAAAAAAGAATGGTCATTCTGAATCCAAGAGCTGTTTGAGAGCAGTGGCTGGTGCACACAGTGAGGGGGACAGCATAGCCAAGAGTGCTGGGACTGTGTCTTAGTATCCTAATTTCAGACCTTATTGAGAACCAGATAAGTCATTTGTCTCCTTTTCTTTGCAAGTACCTTTCCTTCTCCATCTGGTGCTCAACACATCCTCACAGGCCCATTCCACTTTGCAATCGGTCTGATTCTCTGCCTCACATTTTGTGGTATTTTGGCAGGCTTATGCGTCAGCAAAGTAATAGAAAATGTCATTTTAGGGACATTCATTCGTGAATAGTTGAAATAGGTAAAATCCTGCATGCTCTTTGGCGTTGCATACACTTAACAACTGCAGGATAAAATCCCTGGATCAGTCAGGAGGTGTTTTAAGGTGACCCGAAGAGGAGGGTGTCACAACACTCACTGCTCTGTGAAAGGACACAAAGGCGTCATTTCTGACCTCTTTAATGATTAGATTTTCACTAATTATCCAGGCAGGGATTAAAATCTCTATACACAAGAAGCCCGCTCCAGAGAGGAAAGAAAATGTGGCGAAGAAAGTGATGGTGACTCCTCCTAGGAGTGACACAGTGGGGAAGGAGGCAGCCTGTGAGAGCAGCACACCCTCCTGGGCCAGCGACCACAACTACAATGCAGTGAAGCCAGAGAATACTGCTGCGCTCTCCCCACCACGGTTCTGTAAATGTAGGTATCCCCGAGGGTTTGACCCTCTGGTCCCTTCTCTCCCTCTCCGGATAGCCACCTGGGGCTGAACAGGACGGGGAGTCACAGCTGTGTTTTAGTGCTGATGTTGGAGACCAGGTCACCATCACTTGGAAGCAAATGCCCATGTCCAGCATGCCTCCAGAGCCTGGTTGTCCATCCTTAGCCTGTGACCATTCTTCTCGGTGTTTTCCAAAGAGCTGCACAATCCTGCCTGATAAATGGCTCACCACAGTGGTGCAGTCCTTTAATATCTAGCTTCAGTCAAGATGAGGCTCTGGTAAGTACTTACATTAGCTCCAGCAGAATCGGATTGCATCTTTGTACTTAGCCCAGTCTCCAGATCCACCACTGTTGAAACACCAGTTAGTTGAATCACAGCCATGCATAGAACTTCTGTTTTCCCGCATCACTACTTTTTGCACATAAAATCACCACTACAATGGAATGCTGTAGGCATCTCTGCAAATTACTCTTGCATCTAGTAGCTTTGGTGCAACCTGTAGGAGTTCACAGAATTTTTGACCTGATGAAGAGATTGTCTTCTTGTCCAGTTCACATACTACACACCTACATAAGTAGACATTAAAATTTTGAAAGCCATTTGTTGGTGCTATGCACACTCCACAGTAAGTGAACATGGCATCGTTGACACTGAGAAGATTGTCCTCACTAAAGGGAGATTGGTGGGCTGATGTCACAAGGGCAGTGGCTTCCTGGCTCTCTCGAGTGTTTAGACTGCTACCCTGCCCCTGGTTTCAAGTGAATGAAATGAAGACATTCAGGTCCGTGTGTGAAACCTCAGCTTAGACCATGCAACTTGGATCTGTTTCTCAGCCTCATATTCCAAAGATAAATCATAGACATTTATATTAGGGCCCATAGGGAATATCTTATTCTGATTTTTATTTATGTTTTTATTAATGCTCTTCATAGTTTATTTTGTCCCTTTTTGAAAGCACTAATAGATTAAATAGCCCTAAATTCCAAGAGTACAGCTATACTATATTTTCCTTTCTTTGGGCCTTTAGCACATCATGTGAGGGGAAGGTGCTGATGCAGGTAGGTGCCAGGTGTCATGTGGTTAAGAACTTGAGATCCCAAAAGTCCCAAGACAGGAAGTGAAATCACAAGTAAGTTGAATGAACCAACTGCTGCATCCTGGTGGACCTTAATACACCTTAGGTGGGTTAAGGAGCAGATTTCATGCTAGCAGATGAAGTATATCAAGTGTTCAAATTACAGAGCTCTTAAGACAATACATCTATAAAGCTGACAAATACACAGAAATGAGCAGCACCTATGTGTGAATGGGTAGAGGGCAGTCACTTGGTGGTAGGGGATTAAGTGCTTTAAGTTGATGATAGGCACATAATAATGCAAGAAGGAAATACCGAGGGTTTAACCACAGCCCAAATACCTAGTGCTTGGTTTCAGTCCAACTCCCCTGTCTGTTCAGAGTGGAAAACCATCCCTGAAACTTCAAAGGGGTGTTGAGACACTGTGTGCTGGAGAGAGGGAACATTGGTGGTGAAGGTGAGAATGTGAGATCTACAGACAGTCACTGTGTCCTATGCACATGGGGAGGGAGGAACAGAAGGAGCTCAGAGGATCAACGGGTCGGTCAGTTTCTGTGTATGGAGGTGGGAGGTCTGGCTTTGACTGTTCCCACCTCTTCTGCACACTGGCTCTTCAGTGGAGTTCATGGGCTCCAGTGGCAGGAAGTTGGGATAAATGAACAAGTGGACAAGCTTCCCAGCACACACACATCTCAGAATTGATGGACATCCAGACTACAGCACATATAAGGGACAAACATGGAGCTGCTTGCTTCTAATAATTACTCTTTTTCCCAGAAACATCATTTTCTCAATGATTGGGAAGCCAGAGTGATTGGTAAAGCAATCCAAATACCAGTACCATGTCTCTGTCTCTCTTGCCCCAAACATTTCCTCACCTTTGGGGTACGAGGGCACATTCCCTAGGACTTGGGTGGGCGGGGTGGGATGGACAGCACCCATAGCCCCCAGCCCTGCCTTCCCATCTTACTTCAACTAGGGCAGGGGTTGGGTGGTAAGGCTCGGGGCGGGGGGAGGAAGGCAACTCAGAATGCTTCCAGTCTGCTTTCTTGGGAGCTGATCCACCTACGGCTCCACGTGTCTGAGAAGAACCACATGGCAGAGCCAAGCTGCCGCAGCTGCTCCTGGAGGTGCCTCAGCCACATCCTGCCCCCACATCCCTGGTGTCACCGTCAGGGTAGACACAGGCAGGTGTGGGCCTAACTACACAGGAAGCTCTGCTGCTCCTTCCCGTTCTCCAGGTGATATGATTCACGCACAGTTGTGCCTGTGATTTGTTCCTTAACATTTTCTAAGGATGTATGTACAGTTTTCTGAGTTTATGCAAATCAGCATTTTATTGTAAGGGAATGTTTTGTAATACATTTTTTGTTCCATGATATCTATAAATGGAATTTTAATGTTTATAGGCACAATTTACAGTGTTTTGGTTTCCCTAAATGGATCATTGTTAATTGACATAAAACACTGGGATCTGTGTAGATTTTGATGGGAAAGCATTTCATCTATCTAATTAAAAAGGAAAATCAACCACTTATAGCTCCAGCTCCCAGCCGTTTGCTGTTCATCTTACCCAGGTAGAAGAATTTTCTTGCTGATAACCACACGGATGGTCCCAGTGGTGTGGTGAACTGGATTGCAGAGAACACAGGTTTCCACTGGTTTACTCGGGGTGTGGGCTCCTGCACACATTTCATTGAAATCATAAGGGGAACCAATTCCATGTAATAAATGCCTAGTGGGTACTAGAATCTTAAGATTTCTTAGAAATCTAAAAATGGTTTCTTTTTAAATACCAGCTACATGAGCCATTATAGCCATTATATCAAGAGATGTCACTGGCAATAAAATGAGGGTGAGATGAACCAAGGCTGTCTAAACCAGTCTTCTCCCATTTGGGTGAAAAGTCAAAATTTATACAGGTTAAATGATTTAGCTTGACAGCTGTTTTTTCATGTCAGTGTAGCTGGAATTATCTTGGTTGTCAGCATGACATTTTTGTAAAGCATGTTAGCATTTTATAATTTTAAAGAAAATTAACCTATTCAGAAAATTAGGTCATTTTATGAACTTGAACCTGCCAGGTGGACCTCTCAGCATCATCCTGCACTGTCCTCCAGTCTGTCCTGCAACTGCCCTGGCCTCTTGAGTCCTTTTAGCCTCTGTGTCCTTCAGCCTCTTTGGGTAATGGGTGAGAGGGGTGGAAGTTTCTGGTAGGGTTGGTCTTTGAATTCACCTATCAGTGGCCTTCCTGCAACTTTTTGGAGCTGTGGATCTGCTCTGTTACTTCCTGAAGATTAATACTCCTGGAAAATTTGGTGGCATTGCAGATGTCATCAAGTGCAAAGATCCCCTCTGAAGATGCCTGCTATAGTTCCTCACTAGCTTCAGGTATATTTGTAAGATACTTAGGACTTTGTTGCTGTTACCATCAACATGCATGTAGTTAAATTCTTAGTTCCTGGAAGGTAACAAAGTAAACTTAGAAGATTGGTAAGAATGTTTCCTACTTCATTTATATCAGTGAAGGTTGAGGCAACTTTATTTTGCCACAACCCTGGAAGAGCTTGGCAAGAAAAACAAAGTACTGGGCAGCATACTCCTCACTTAGTGTCTACATCAGGTATCCACTTTGTGGTTTTACACATTTGAGTATGGTCCACTGGGTCTGAGGTTCCTGGGGGGTGGTAAGTGGACTATTTTAACATGCTGCTCTCCTATTTATGTTAATAAACAATTCAGGCATAGTGAAAGGACGCTTCTTAAACTTGAACATTACCACAGTAGTGCCCCCTGGTGACTGGAAGGTCTTGAGAAGCAGCGCATCACTTCTGTGAGTCTTGGTTTGGCAGCGCAATGCAAGTGGCCCCTTGGCTGGGCACACAGTGAACATGAACGAGGCTTCATCACACTCTGTTGAGGGGCTCACTTTGAAGTGTAGTTTGACCAGCTGTGTATCTGTTACCAACCCAACATGAACTGTACTGTTTTACTATTCAAGATAATTATGTAAAACTTGCCCAAAGGAAGGTAATTTACTTACAGATTTTTTTTTTTAATTAAAGTTTCTTACGTAGGGTTAGGTATCTCCATTAAACTGAAAACACAAAAATACTGACAAACAATTGCCTAGGAAAGCTTTTTCATACCCTAAAATAACTTGGCTATGGATGTCTACAAAAGTAGTCAGAATGGCCATCTACACAGGAGCTTCTATCATGTAACCTGTGTTCCACATTTCATGTTATTAACAATGTCAAAGCAAATTAGTAACAACACTTTTTCTAAGTATAATTCATTTGAAAATTATAGTAAGGAGCAGAAGCAGAATGTTTCCTCCTGCCTGTCACCTTCACTTTCTGCAGTAGAAAAGAACACTGAAGAAACAGTAGAGAATTGAAAACCAAATTGTGCACAGGCTCTGAGAGCAGAGCACTATGATGTCTGAGGGAATGGACAAGAGTCCTTGCATCAGTAATCCATGGTGAAGATTAAGGGAATGGCGTCAGTCCCTGATAAAAGGAAAGCCCTATGCACAGCCCAGTGGTTTTCACTAGTCTCCCTGTGAAAACCCTTTGGGGACAGCACTCACCACTGGTCATGGGTACCTGGGGCAGTTGGGGATGTGTAGATTTTGTCTCACCTTTTCAGGGGCCTTCCCCTCTAGTTCCGCTTCCATCTGGGCAATTGCAGGAGTTCTGAAGAAAACATGGACCTGATTTCTTCCAAGGGAGGCCAGATTTTTCTCCACCCTTTTCCCTTTGTGGCTCATTAGTGCCACCCAATGACCATTGGTGGCATGGCGCCCCAGTCAGCCCTCCGGTGTGAGGAAACACCTGGTTACAGCAGGTTGCGATGGTCCTGTGCACAGCAACCTGCTGTTAAGAGCTGAACTCCAGATGGAATTTCCAAACGGCCAGCCCTGGCAGCCCAAGTTTCACCTGGGGCAGTGGCCTAGGCTGGTGGTGATGCTTCCTGAAGCAGCACTTTTCCTCAAGTTGAAGGAGGCTGTGCTGGCGTAATGGCTCCTCTGTAGGAGGGTGAATTGTGGATGTGGGAACCGGGCATTGCTCCTGTGAGCAGTGGATGCTGCTGCATAGTGCCGCCTGGACAATGCAGTGCTACCCAACAGAGTTGAGCAGCAGGCCAGGTGGCACTGCTTCCAAACAGTCATGTTCTGTATGCTGCTGGGGTTTTTGGGAGGGGGTGGATATTTTCTTCCCTTCTGTGAGTTTTCGATTACATAATACTGTAAAAAATGAAATTAGGGTCTGAGTTTTAAGGCTCGCTGGCAACTTCCCTAGCATGCATAAGATGGTTCAATCATCAGCAACAGAGCACAATTTGGATAGGAACTTTGGTGCAGTTCTACTCAAAAATAAGTTTCTCATTGTCATTGCAATTCTAGCAGCAGCTGGCCCAGCCTAGTACCAGCACTATATTTTCCACAAGGGGGTGTGGGTGTGTGAGACCCCTGGAGCATTTGGTGTATAGAACTCTGTGAATTTTAAATACTTCCATTTTAAAAGTACAAGAGGGGGCTTGATATGTCCTACATACTATCAGCGGTGAACTTAAAGCAGATTTCTCAACATCCATCAGTAAGCGTTGTTTGGCCAATTTGTGTTTCCGTAATTACACCTGTGTACCATTGGCAGCACAGGCAAGGGATCACAGAAGTTGGCTTTAAGATGGCAGAAGGCACTGGTCTATAAAATTGGAGCCATGCCTTCTGTAGTGGATGCCATTCAAGTGTGCATCTGTTCCATGGTAATCTATGCCCTTAGTCACATGTATTGAGGATGTCCTGGAAATACTTTAAACTTGGATTTTTCCCTTAATTAGGACAGATAGGCTGGTAGATCAGTAGAGGTTCAGGTCTCACCTTCAACATGTCATTCTACAGCTTAAGGTTTCAAGAGATGAAGGTTTTGTTGAGCTCACATGTGTTTGTAACCAGAAACAAGGCAGAAGTTAAATGTTGCTAACAGTTTATTTGAGGTCATACCGCACAGGTGTATAGGGGTTTTGTCAAGGCTCTGAAAATGCCTTGGGCCGGCATTTAGAGTTAGTAGTATAATATCAAAGTTCCCTGCAGTTTCTGTGTCTAAAATGCAGTGGTGGAACAGGTTTAGTTCTCCCCTCCATTTGTGACAGGTATGGTGCATGCTTTTTGTTACTGCCAAGAGGCTGGCTTCCTGACTGGTGGTAAGGTACATCCCTCTGACAGTATAGATTTATTGTGCCCCTGCTCACTTCAAAACTCTTCCGGTTGGTGTCATAGCACTTCCTCCTCACTCTGATCTGAAAGGTCAGGGCTGCCCCCTAAGAAGAGTACAATCCACTGTTTTTAACACAGACTGAAACAGACCCTGTGAGTTAACTCTCTTGTTAGCAATAAATGTCCAGATTTTAAATACAGTGAGTATACAAGCAGAATCACCTCATGCTGTGTCACTTAGGAAAGGTTAAATTCTGATAGTACTGTAATAATGTCAGGAAGTTGGAAGTTAAATGTTCATTTTACATGTCCTTGTATAACTCAAGTGTCCTGAACAGTAAAAGTACTTTCCCTGTGTTCAGTTGTGTCCCTGTTTCCTCTTTGTCAGACATTGCCATTGCTTTGCAATGCACTGTCTGCAATTCCAGGTCCCTCAGGGCTTTTCCTCTTTGTTCTGTTCAGAAGGAAGTTCCAAAGGTGTAACTGGATGAATGGGTCAGCATAGTGTGCAGTCTCCACAGCCACCTGAAGGCTGGGAATTGGGAATGCTTCTGGGCACAGGTCTGGGACAGGTCGGTGGCAAGGAGCTGTCCCTGTGTGGTATGAAAGAATTTTTACCCAACTATCACTGTGGGGATTTGGGGCTATGAAAACCTCAAATGGCCTTGATCCTTGAAACACTGCTGAACTGTGAGTCCACATTAATACTATTGTACATTTTGTAAAATTCAGAGATTTACTTTATCTTCTAAAGTTAGGGAAACTAACAGCCCTAGCCTTTTACTGACATGCGGTGGACTTGGCTGCATTGGAGCATTGCAGACTGCTGGATAAAGGCTAATGCCCTCATCCCCTATGGACACAGCCATGTCTGTAACAAGGCTGCATTGCATCCCCTGGTCTCAAAACCACTATGGAGCAGTTTGTGACACCAGGCCTTTGCAGATTGAATCTCGGCGCTTTTAGAATTTTCAACCCTCCCTGGTGTGAATGGTGACCAAAGAGTAGTTAATTTTTAATCCCTGGTCACATTACAGGTATGATTGAAGCACCTGTTGACTCCAGTGTAGGGTTTGTGGACTTGGAGCTGCAGGGTGCTGGGGGAAAATCTCCCTAGAGGAGGCGTTCTCTGTGCAGGGACCAGTGAGACAGGCAGTGCTGCTGTCTCACTGGACCCTGTTTCCAGACATGACTGAATAGTGCTTTCACACAGGATCTTGATAGAACTGATTCTGTCCTAAGGAGAGGCGAAGTTGGGGGGCTTTAATGACAATCTTTATTTGAATTAAAAACACCAAGTTGTCACCTCATCACACAAAATTTCATCTCCAGGGTTGTATGTGTAGACATCTATAGAACAGCCTCGCTGTATTCACATCTGTTGCTTGGTGTGAAAATACTGGGTCTGATTGGCTTGTCCACAAAAACCATGAAGTGACATATGACTTCCATGCTTCTGACAGCCTCCTTGGCCCTTGGAGTTGCTTATACATGGGAGGAAAACTTGTCCATTTTCCCTTTCTGACAAAATTTTTGAAATATAAAGCACCAAGTTTATCTTTGAGTTCCTTGTAAGGGATGTTTTAAAAATACTTTTAATTATGTAAGATTTGTCCTACAGTGTCAGAACTTTGTGATAAAATGGAGCCCTGTATGCTTATGATTTGAGATAGAATGTTTAATGTAATAATATAATCAAGTAGTTCTGAAATAAATTGTGACTATCATAAATACTTCTGCCTACCCTTAGTTAACCTCCTTTTCTGAACTTTAAGATTTTAAAGTTCTTTGATCCAAATGCATCTTAGTGATGCTCAGAAAGTACACTTGAACTTAGTGTTGACTGTTCTTCGAAGTCAAGTGGCATCACTTGTGTTGGCCGTGTCTCACTCAGCATCCCTGTGTTCTGCTCTGCAGCTGTGAAGGATGACAAGAGAGTGGAGGACAGAGCGGTGGGACCAGCCTCGGGCCCAAAGAAAACAGCCCTTCCAGGCTCCTCAGTGGGCAGACAACCTTCATCCAGAACTCTTGTTCCAAAGAAACCGCCTTTCACAAACATGGCAGGAGCCAAACCGGCCATTAAGAAGTCACCCTCAGGCTTTAGAGGCCCCATCCCCAAGAGGCCCTGGCTCTTGCCTACCCCATCAGGCACCTCAGCTGCCAGGCAGGCACGACCAATGCCTGTTGCGGTGGCGGCTGCTTCCAAAAAGGCACTGGGCTCTACTGCTTTGGTTGGATCCATAAGGAAGCCAGTGGGAACTTCCACACCCACAACTGTTCCAGCCATGGGACGCCTCGGGTCCACAGGCTCTGCCCAGTCACAGCCAAATTCACAAATTCGGCAAAATATAAGACGCTCCTTGAAAGAGATTTTATGGAAAAGGTGGGCTGTTTGACTTTGTATCTTAACCTATGGAAGTAAGGGTTTTCCATTTATAATGCCATGTTAGGATTGCTCCACTATTTAAGAAAATGAAATATATACACATACTGAGTGGTTCATTTGGTCCCTTTTCTCATTCTGTTCAGAGTCAATGACAGTGATGACTTAATCATGACGGAAAACGAAGTGGGAAAAATTGCCCTCCACATTGAGAAGGAGATGTTTAACTTGTTTCAAGTTACAGATAATCGCTACAAGAGTAAATACCGCAGCATCATGTTCAACCTCAAGGATCCTAAAAATCAGGTGTGTGAACCATCGTGTATGTGGGATCATTCCCGGTGGAGTGATACACGTGCTGTCTCCTGTCAGCGATGTCACATAATATACTGGACCCAGTATTTAAAGTCTTGATACACTTGGTATTTAGAGATTTGATACACATTCCCCATTCAAGGATCCTTCCCTCTTTACCTGCAGTCCTGTCAGGGATCTCGTTGGTGCTCCCACCACCTACCCTTTTTACCAAATGAATCTAAATGTCATAAAAATCACATGCACATATCCCTTTTCAGCTGAGGTTTCCTTAGAAAGTGATGTGAACCACCCCTGCAATAGCCTCAGCCTAGAGGCTGGAAGGATTGAGCTACTGCCCTGACTTAGCCGTTCCTACCACTTGCCTCCAAGGTTGTCTGGGGTTCTCTCTTTACCCCTGTATTATTTATCTTTTGAAAGTGACAAAACCGTTACTAAAATGAAGCTTGTGACATCTTAATCTTTAATCTTTTAATGTTCTGCTAATATTAACGTAACTTAAACATAGTTCTGTTTATTCTGTACGGTTCTGCTAACAGTTTAAACAAGCATGATCCAGAACCTTAAAGTAGTGTGTGTCTTCAACTGTGGACCCCATATTCTCCAGATAGAATCTTTTCGGAGGGGGCCTGTCGTGGAATAGCATGAAGATTGGAATATTGAATCAATATAGCTGGGTTTTTCCTTGGTGCCTATGCTTTCTGATTTTCAAACCATTAGTCTCAAATGATTATCAGTACTACCCCCATCACATATTTTCTTCGGTATCATCTTGTTAGATGTTTCAACTCATGCTGGACAACATCTAAATTGCAGTAGTAGATGCATTTTTTTGTACCTTTCTGTTCTGTGTATCTTTGCCCACAAAACTCACAAGTGCTATTTTCCTGTATTTTAGGATCAGGATAAAGTGTTCTGGCTGCATGTCCCAATGGTCAGCAAGCCCTGTCCTAAGGGACGGATTTCCTGCTTTCTTCCTAACACTCTTTTTGACTTCTTTTCCACCTTGAGTCTGGGATTTGTTTACTGAGGCTCTTGGATGTTCAGCATAGTCCATGCTGCATGGCCTTGAAGTCAGCTCTCAGCTGGGCCTGGCTGGTGTTTCCTTCTGAGAGGCTCTTGGGGAGCTGGATGGGGTTTCCTTTGTAGGGTGTGGCCCACTGCTGCCCTCTGTGCAGGGCTTAGGGTCTGTGCCTGTGGCCCTCTGATAGGACTTAGGCTGCTTTGTTTACCCACATCTCTACATATTTGCAGGTACTTAACAGTTTTTTCAATGACTGACTGAAAGATTTATGTTTATAGGGACTCTTCCATCGAGTGCTGCGTGAAGAAATTTCTTTGGCAAAACTTGTAAGAATGAAGCCAGAAGAACTTGTATCTAAAGAACTTTCTATGTGGAAAGAGAGGCCAACAAAATCTGTGAGTACGAATGGCAAATGCTAACTTGAGTCCATGGAAGCTCAACTGTTCCATAAGTTAATAATCTGCTGCTTGCAAGGAAATATGGTTGTAGAATTTGGGGCTTAAGACTTCGTTTTTATTCTCTTTTCAGGTAATTGAGTCCAGAAGTAAACAGCAGAATGAAAGCAAAAAGGCTGTCATGAAGCCAGAAACCATTCCTGACATGGAGGACTCTCCACCTGTGTCAGATTCAGATGTGAGCACTGGGGATGTTAGGGATTAAAAAGAGTAAGATTGACCCCTTCCAAATGCTTCCAGAGCCTGCATTTAAGACACTGAACTAAAAATAGGTGTATGTGGATGTCCAGCTGCAATGATTCCCACTACCTGCAATCAGTGGTTCTTAATCTCATGAGATTCTGTCCTGTGTGCCATTATTTGGAAAGGAAATGATCTGGTTGTTTTTTTTGTTTTTGTTTTTGTTTTGTTTTGTTTTGTTTACTTTTAGGAGCAGCAGGAATCAGTACGTGCTGCCCCTGAAAAAACAGCTCCTCTTCTCGATGTGTTCAGCAGCATGTTGAAGGACACGACAAGTCAACACCGAGCCCATCTTTTTGATCTAAACTGTAAAATTTGCACAGGTGAGCCTAATCTGGGGAAAAACTGGAAATCAGACAAATTTTAATGATTCTTAAATCACATATCCTCCCAAAAGTGATTGTACTCAGCACAAGTTAAGACAAACAAGGCAGGAGTGGATTTCTGGAGTTTGCCCTACCTTCATCCTTTGCTTTTGATTTCTTTAAGAAGTCACTACCTTGGGCCAGGGGTGTAGCTCGGCAGTGCAGTGCCTGCCTGGTAAATGCAAGGTCCTGAGTTCGAGTTCCCAGTACCCACCCCCAAAATCATCACCTACTTATAACCAGCTGTGAAGGTACTGGATTTCTCACCAAGTCTGTCTTCACGTTCCTCAGGTCAGGTTCTGTCAGAAGATGAACCAGCTCCTAAAAAACAAAAAATGTCAACTTCTGCTAAGAAAGAAGACTTAAAGCCCAAGCCTGACAGCTCTCCACCTGATCCAGTTCCTCACTTGTCTGGTGAAGGTTCTGCAGAGATTCCGCCAGAAAATGCCTCAGAGACAGACCTGGAAAGGGCCTCTGGTCCAAAGCCAGAGAAAAAGTATATCCCTGGGCCTCCAGAGGACAGCCATCCAGAGCTCTCCCTGACAGAAAGCTCCTCTCCCTGCCCCACTTCCTGTGGGGTTGGGGTGGTCACCACAGTCACAGTGTCAGGCCGAGACCCCAGGACGGCTGTGGGTGGGTCCTGCACCGTCATGGCCTCTGCTGCAGGCCATCTGGACAGCTCTCACACGGTCGAAACCAAGCCAGACCCGCTAAAGCCCGCCCTGACCTCTGTGACACTGCCCAAGTCCATACTTGCTAAGCCGTCCTCGTCTGCTCTCACACGGTCGAACACAAGCCAGACCCGCTAAAGCCCGCCCTGACCTCTGTGACACTGCCCAAGTCCATACTTGCTAAGCCGTCCTCGTCTTCTGACCCGAGACATTTGTCAGTTCCACCAACACCAGGAATCAGGTGGGTGCTTGAGGTGGGGTCTTCAGCTGGCTGGGATCTTGTTTCTTTGAGATGAACAAAGGTGGTGATAAAATCCTTCAAGTCTGATTTTACTCCAGAGTCCAGCCTCACGCCTGTGTAGCCTAAAAAGGCTTTGTTTTAAGATTGGCTGATTACAATGGATCTCTGAAATCACAAGGATCCACAAATTGTGAAAAGCCACAAATTTCGGCTGTGGTCAAAAAAATGCCTATTTGTGTGGTTTAAACCCTAAATATACTATGTACTGCAGTTATGTAATTTAATTTAATAAAATATTGTATTAGTAAAGCCTTAGAAAATGCAGTGCGTTTTAGCAGCACCTTGGGGATCTTGTGGCTTAAGGAAAACAAGACAGAGGACATGAGAGCTACATGCAGTACCGCACCTTGTCGTGATGTGGGAACGCTGGTGCCTCTGCAGAGGAGGGTGCAGGACAGCAGCCAGTCAGCAAGGAGAACTGAATTTAACACTCTCAGCTTGGCTAATAGCAAACCTCCCGCCAAAAAAATCAACTGTGGAGGATATTTGCAGTTTTTGTAAAATTATAGGGGTTTTCAGGAACCATTTATTAGGCTCTAAGGAAAAATCCAAGAACAACTGAGGCTGTGAACTCTGAACCATGTCTTCTCAGGGTTATACTGTACCGTTTTGGGAGCACAGATCTTTCATTTTTTGAGATTGGGTCTTGCTGTGATGTTCAGGCTGATCTTGCACTCACAGTAACCCTCCTGTCTCAGTCACTCCAGTGTTGGGATTACAGATGCACCATGTCCAGTGGGGCCCAGATTTTGAAAAGTTTGAGGGCTGGGATTTAGCTCAGTGGTGCCTGTGCCTGCCTCGAAAGCACAAGGTCCTGAGTTCGATCCGCAGAACCATAAATAAATTTTTAAAATCTAGCAATCCCAAACTCACAGTCTTCCTGCCTTAGTCTCCAGAGAAGCTGGAGGAACAGGTGTGAGGCACTGCACCCAGCCTTTAAAAAAAGAAAAAATTGCCAGGAATTTAGCTCAGTGGTTCCAGTGCCTGCCTTGCAAGCACAAGGACCTGAGTTCAATCCCCCATATTAAAAAAAAAA